CACTCTTCAGCTAGACTCTGGACAGGGAGGTTGTGACATTGGCGCCCTCGCCGGTAATTGGCAGATTTGGATCTTAAGTGGCGAGTTGAACCCAGAGGATAGGAAACAGGACTCTGGCCACACCTGAGACGGCAAGGGGACCTTTTGGAAAAAGGTCCGAGAGTATTGTCGGCGAAGGTGCAAGCTGAGAGTGCAAGGATCCTGATAACATGCCAGATTCACTGAGGAGAGTTTTGGACCCAGCTGGATCAATGCGAATGGACTGACCATCTAAACATGGTGACAGTCTCATCCAGTAAGTGTCGGAAATCATTACGACTCTGTGTCAACCCTCAAGGAGCAGCTGAAGGAGACACGACCGAGGCCACCGCAAGCAAGTGCTCCTTTAAGTTTTACCTATGAAGAGGCAAGTGAAATTTTGACTGCGACCCTGGAAAGGGAGGGTTTTATTTAATTGTGCCAACAAAGAGGCTGTGGACAGTCCTGTATCGATGTTAAACAATCCTATTGTAACCAGTGGAGTGAGTGAAGCATAAATTAATATCTTTGGCTAGCTTATAATGACAGTGAATAGACTGTGACAGCACTCTGTATCCAAACCGACCCAACCAGGTTGGGCATTGACATACGGCAACTAAGAGAGGGTACACATCTCATGGAGCGATGATTTTTTGGACGCCAACCAGGACGCGTACCTCCGGTGCGTTGAAAGGATTGGCATCACGTCTGTGTTATCCGAGAACGAGGGCACGTGAGAGCCAGGGAGCAGCCGAGGGTGTGGTGATGGAACTTCAGTGAGCTGGTGACACATGGCAGCTACATGCCACTGGAGACACTATCGTTTCCTAGCTAAGTAATCTGCCCTTTTGTTGATTTGGCATTCCCAAGAGAACTGGTACGAATTTTAATATATAAGTATGTACTCATTTTGCATCCTACATGTAGGATACATTGAGTCTATACATGTGAATAGAGTAACGTTCGCATTATTGAAGGTTGAGAGCGGCCGCTGACTGCAGATTTGATTGCGGCTATCCAAGAGAAATTATTATTTATCTTTGTATTTCCTTTTGTCAATAAATGTTCTTTTTAGTTTTAAACACTGTTTATGTGTATCTTCGTTTCGGTTATGCCACGTTATATATGTATGTAAAAGCCTAATAGTCTACTACTATTAGGCTCAGAGGTACTAACCACTGAGTGTAGGAATAAGGATTAAATGAAATCGGGGAACATGGCATCATGTTCAAGAGGACTAGAGTCAAGAAGTGAAGTCACTTCCTCCCGCTGAGTGCAGGTGAGAACCCCGACGTTCACAGGAATAGCTGATAACCAGATGTCTGAGGTCGACACCTGCCACGCCTTGACACCTGCCGCTCTACCTCCCGCTGGCAGGGGACAGAAAGTAGTCTAGCGAGTTCCCAAAGGTGCTGCGAGGTCCCTGTGTTTTTAGGCTGGTATACACACATGGGTTAAGCGCCGATTTCAGCACGAGGGAGATGGAGTCAGAGCCAGTAATAAGGACGCTGTAGAGAGAGCCGTGACGGAGTGTCATCGGTGGTACTCGACGAGGCTCCCCTTCTTTTTCCTGTGACAATGGTCAGCTGGTGCTATCAATAACTGTTACACAGTCAGCTGATACTATCAATAAATTTTGCACGGTCATCTGATTCTATCAATAACTCGCATGGTCAGCTGATGCCATCAATAACTTTTGCACAGTCAGCTGGTGCTATTAATAACTGTTGCACAGTCAGCTGGTGCTATTAATAACTGTTGCACAGTCAGCTGGTGCTATCAATGTTCTATGGTGTTACGTTGCCCCATCCTATATATTCCCTATTCCGACAGTAAGAATCACATCTGCAACCTGTACTTGCTCTGATGCTCAGGGAGCATTTTGATATATATAAAGTGTGGTCGAAGTTATCATGTGGAGTTAAATTTACCATTTTAGTTTTGGGCTTGAAAGTGGCTTATGCCCTTTATGATTGCAATATGACGACAAAGTGACGGAGTTCCTGCCAAGAGAGCGGGGGGGGGGGGAGGAGCTGTCTGGCGAGTGGCCAGTGCAAGTCACGTGACCGAGTGTACCAATGGGGGCAGCGCCCCAGGGCGTGACATCACAGGGCGGCGGACATCCGAAACCGCGAGCGACAACGGAGCTCAGAGCTCCACCAGCTGTGTTTGAGTGCGGTCGTGCGTCAGGAAGCTTTCCAGATTGTGAGGTCAAGCAGCTGAAGAAGTAGAACAGCTACAGTCGTTACCACAGACGTCTTGGAAGATTTGTTAACTCCAGGGGGACATAAGAAACCATAGTTCAGTTGGTGTAAAAGGTGTCAAGAGCTGTCAAGTCCCCGACGGTGTGAGGAGGGGGGGGGGGCAGATGCTAGGTGGTCTGTACAGTCCTGCGGGTCAAGCCCCGATATGACGTTTGAGCTGAAGAGACGGGGTCTAATTCACTGGACGGCTAAAAGGGGACACTGAACGAGACTACGACGGTGTGTGTACGAGTTCAGGTGTGTGAGGGAAGGAGCAGTGCCGGTGCCAGCCGTCGGTGTCAGGAGGAGGAGGACCTCCCGAGGGGAACGTGTACGGCGACGACGCGAGCTTCGAGTCACCTAGGGATCCTGTACATGCCAGACCTGATCAACGAGGGACCGACCAGCGAGCAGACGACCCCAGCCACCATCAGAGGACCCCAGCTACCATCAGAGGACCCCAGCTACCATCAGAAGACCCCAGCTACCATCAGAGGACCCCAGCTACCATCAGAGGATCTCCAGCTACCATCAGAGGACCCCAGCTACCATCAGAGGACCCCAGCTACCATCAGAGGACCCCAGCTACCATCAGAGGACCCCAGCTACCATCAGAGGACCTCATCTACCATCAGAGGACCTCATCTACCATCAGAGGACCTCATCTACTATCAGAGGACCCCCAGCTATCATCAGAGGACCCCCAGCTATCATCAGAGGACCCCCAGCTACCATCAGAGGACCCCCAGCTACCATCAGAGGACCCCAGCTATCATCAGATGACCCCAGCTACCATCAGAGGACCCCAGCTATCATCAGATGACCCCCAGCTACCATCAGAGGATCCCCAGCTACCATCAGAGGATCCCCAGCTACCATCAGAGGACCCCCAGCTACCATCAGAGGACCCCAGCTATCATCAGATGACCCCAGCTACCATCAAGAGGACCCCAGCTATCATCAGAGGACCCCCAGCTACCATCAGAGGATCCCCAGCTACCATCAAAGGACCCCCAGCTACCATCAGAGGACCCTCAGCTACCATCAGAGGACCCCCAGCTACCACCAGAGGACCCCAGCTACCATCAGAAGACCCCAGCTACCATCAGAGGAGCCCCAGCTACCACCAGAGGGCCCCAGCTATCACAGAGGACCTCAGCTACCATCAGAGGATCCCCAGTTACCATCAGAGGACCCCCAGTTACCATCAGAGGGCCCCCAGCTACCATCAGAGGACCCCAGCTACCATCAGAGGATCCCCAGTTACCATCAGAGGACCCCAGCTACCATCAGAGGACCCCCAGCTACCATCAGAGGATCCCCAGTTACCATCAGAGGACCCCAGCTACCATCAGAGGACCCCAGCTACCATCCGACGACCCCCCAGCTACCATCAGAGGACCCCAGCTACCATCAAAGGACCCCAGCTACCATCAGAGGACCCCAGCTTCCATCAGAGGAGCCCCAGCTACCATCAGAGGACCCCCAGCTACCATCGGAGGACCCCCAGCTACCATCAGAGGACCCCTAGTTACCATCAGAGGACCCCAGCTACCATCAGAGGAGCCCCAGCTAAAATCAGAGGACCCCCAGTTACCATCAGAGGCTCCCCAGCTACCATCAGAGGACCCCCAGCTACCATCAGATGACCCCAGTTACCATTAGAGGACCCCAATTAACATCAGAAGACCCCAGCTACCATGAGAAGATCCCAGCTACCATCGCGAGGAATCTACAAGTTTGTAGTAGAGAAAGTTAAGGTAGATCAATTTTCCCTCACCTTTTCCCTTGAGCTAGATGATGTAGTTTATTATTATTACTGATATTATTATTATTAAAGATCTAGTGCTAGGCTATTGCTAGAATTATTATTATTATATATGTGGTGATAGTGATATAGTGAATATTATTCCTTGTTATTTTTTATTCCTGTACAGTCCATCGGTGATCGTTGTGAGAAGACAGTACCCACACACATAATAATTTACACGTGGAAAATAGTAGAGAGGCTGGTCCCAAACCTACACACAGAAATAACATCACATGAGACCAGAAGACATGGCAGGATGTGCAGAATACCCCCGTTGAAGAGCAGAGGTGCAACTGGTACTCTGAGAGAGAACTCTATCAACATCAGAGGCCCGAGACTGTTCAACACGCTTCCACTACACATAAGGGGCATAACTGGCCGACCCCTCACAGTGTTCAAGAGAGAACTGGATAAGCACCTCCAAAGGATACCTGATCAACCAGGCTGTGACTCAAACGTCAGGCTGCGAGCAGCCGCGTCCAACAGCCTGGTTGATCAGTCCGTCAACCAGGAGGCCTGGTCGACGACCGGGCCGCGGGGACGCTAAGCCCCGGAAGCACTTCAAGGTAACCTCAAGGTAAGGTATGCAGTGAGAGGCAAAGTGAACTATATATCTATATTTGCAACAAGGAAAAGTGGTGGCCAGATCCAGGTGTAAAGTGTCCGCCGCTTGAAACAATCAGCTGAGTTGCCAGATACAACTTACGGAGTGTTACTGCCATCAGCCAGTGCTGCTCATTATATCACTATGGACCAGTGTAGTTTTATTTTAGTAAACTCATTATTATTTTTACCATTGTGTTTACATTGCCTCTTTCATCTCTTGGGGGATTAATATAGTAATTAATTATTGCACAACAACATGTCACTGAAACCTAGACCAATACTATTTGTAAGATCATTGAAAAGTATTGCTGGGTTGTGAGTACATGTACCCCGCTGGCGACCTCACGGCGCTGTGTCGACGGAATTCAGCCGTGTGGATGATTACAGGTGAGCGGCAAGATTCACCCGTGTGCAGTTTATATCGGGCAGGCTCGGCTCAGACGTTACAGGCCTTGGTGACGCAGAGGGAAGGCCGCGCTTCTCACTCTCCACAGGTGCCAGGCCGGGTCGCGGACAGTTAGTTTTTTTTTTTTTTTTTTTATTATTATTATTATTATTATTATTATTATCTACCACAGAGGTGGCCACACATTTACAATGCTAACCACCCTGCAGAGGGAAGTACTGCTGGCACCCTGCAGAAGGAAGTACTGCTGGCACCCTGCAAAGGGTCAACAAGAGTGCCATGATGTTTTTTTGTTTTGTTTTTTTTCTACCACAGACGTGGCCACACATTTACAATGCTAACCAGCATATATACATTTTCTTCTGTCCTCCATGGACAGGGTTAGAGAAGTGTTAAACATATAGTTCAAGGGTTTATTGAACAATCAACCACAGAAGGTGATTCGGTGCTTTTAAAATGCTAAGCTAACCTATATACGTAAATACATAAATACACAGATTTACGTATGCCCTACATAGTGTTTGATGTGTCTTTTACATATGTGGGTACCGACCTGTGAGATTTATATTTATTTAATTTATATGAATTTATTTTATGTTAATTTATATACTTCGATAGCAATTTGTATAATGATAAGTGGACTGTATTTCTGCAATAATCTCTTAATCTCACAAATCGATCCTCTACACATTAGGGGGGGTTTATTAAATTAATATATATGCAGCCAATCAAACTACAGAATTAACTACATACATTGAAGAGGTTCCTTATCTTATAGTACAGCAGGCTAGTCCACCAGGTATAACTAGGGTGTAGACACCAAATTATCCTCTTTGAGGTAGCTTCCATCACCCAGTAACTGATGCACAAAGCATATGCTTCCTCGTCTTGACCTGTCAAAAGGGCGCTAGCTGTAAAGCCAGATTCTATATATGACAAGTATTTCAGAGAAAACTGTACATGGAACATTAAAAACCTGGCTTAATTACCTTTAGTTTGAGGCTCCCACGTGCTCTAACAGGCTCACCCTATATAATGACATTAATGGCCATAAATGAAAATAAACGGGTTTCGGAAAGAACACTTAACTTGATTTGTTGACAGCGTGTTGAAAATGGTACACCCTTGGTTTCTATAACACTACGTCCAAGTAAAATTAACAGGAGCCGCATTTGCTCCCGTGAGCCTCTGGTCTAGTATAAACAATGGCCGCCCTCCTTCCTCACTGACGCCTGGCTTACATTGTCCAGATTTCAGAAAGTGATAGAAGGGTCACATTTACTCTACTTTAATATTGATAATTAAGTTAATTTATATAAGATGTTTTTATGATGGTAAAGTCCAAAGACTAATGTATTTAAGAATAATTCCCACCATAATAGGTGGAGAATATAATAGTATGTGGTGATGATATCCCGTTTTCTATAGACGGTAATTCCACTACAAGTTACGTTTTCTATGGGTAACTTGTTGGTAATACAGCAGCTATTATCTGTATGATATATTAAATGGTGTCGGATTTTCCGACAACATAGTGTCATTAATGTACATTCACAAAGGTGAAATGTAATTCTGATCAGCTTCTATATATACTTTATACCCATACATATACATACACACACACATATACATACATGTATATATACACATGCATTCACATACATTTGTCTCATTTACTCGGACAGGGTGAGATAGCCGATAAAGAAACTAATGTGCAATTAAGCACTTAATCACTGAAGGTGATGAAGGTGCTTTTACAAGCTCAGGTTATATAGTTACATCATATATATACATTGTATAATTGATATATTACATGGTCAATCTTGGATACAAGTCCAATATATCAAGTGTTCCAGTACTCATATAGTAATTACACAGTTCAGCATACCTTAGCCCAGGAGGGCGAAAGTCAGACAATATGGGACATTCTACAATATAATGTTCAAGAGAGTGCATGTTTTCTCTTTCACAAAGTTGACACATTGTGTACTCGACATTTGGGTATTGAGAAAGCTGCCAGATACGTCTATATCCCAGGCGTATTCTGGCCACTATAACATCACATTGCCGGGTTCTTGTTCTATTAGTCCCATATGTGAATGTCTCCTCACGATATCTATCATAATATTTAATGCTACAACTTTCAGGTCTTTGTGAATTTGTTAGGTCGGTGAGATCTTCATTAGATATTTGTTTAAGTATTCTCTTTGTCACTGCTAATGAAACACTATAGTGATCTACTCAATGCCTTCACGCCGAAAACTGTGCTAATAGACAAAATTCTCTCACTTATGGTAGGTAATTTTAACTCTGCTCTCATATTAACTGTTCTCGTGGACTTTGGAGCCCCAAGGACGAGACGCATTGCTTCATTTAGCAAGGTTTCAAAAGATTTCAGCTCTTTGTCAGTATACAGTGTGAGATGTAGAGCATTGTAGTCAATCACAGAGCGTATAAATGATACATAAAACATTCTAGCAAGTCTCACGTTAAGTCCATGATTGACATCAACAAGGACCCGCAAGGGCTTTAATCTCTCCCGAAGTCTCCTCTTGAGAGAAGAAAGGTACCCAGGGTCATTAATGGGGACACCAAGGTATCTGTAAGACTCGCAGTTCTCAAGTGCTCGCCCATCTATATGATAATTGGGTGGTGGAATACCACATGGAATAAGGGCACGAGTTTTCTGTATAGAGATAAGGAGGCCACATTCCTCAGCTCTAGTAGCAAAATCGTCGAGCAGAACTTGCATTCTAGGCTCGGAGGCAGCCGGTAAACATATATCATCAGCATAACAAATGACAGTGTCTTCATTATTAGTTGGAAGATCTTTAATACGTTTATGCATCAGAACGTTGAACAAAAAGGGGCTGAGGACCCCTCCTTGTGGAGTTCCCAGTTCAAAGTGTTTGCTCTCTGTGCTTTTAACACCATTAAACAAAACATATGCTGTTCGATTAGACAAATAGCCCTTTATCCATTTCAGTAATTTTCCTTGTATTCCCAGCTCGGCAAGCTGTTCCAGTATGATTTCTCTGTTTGCTGTATCAAAAGCTGCTGCTAGGTCGATGAAGACTGTTTGAGGGGAAGCTTCAATATGTGCGAAGTACTCAGCAAAACAGTGTTGTGTACTGAGCCCAGGCATGAATCCAAACAGTTGGGGGTGACAGGTGCCCCTGTATACGATACACGAGTTGGTTAAGAACAATACGTTCAAGCACTTTGCAAACACACGATGTTAGAGATATGGGTCTATAATTATATGAGTGTGGTTTGGGGATGGGAACAATGACACTCTAGCGTTCCTTTTATTATAGGATGCATACCCTCTGATCTTTGGTGGGGTTTTGTTTTTCATGTTGGACGTGTTGGGCTCCTGTATAGCAATTATATCTATGTTGTTACTGGTAACATATGCAATTAGATCATTCAGTCTTTTGTTGATGCTACGAATGTTCCAACTGAGAAACCTAATGTTCCTTGTGTCAGCAGCAGCCATCGTCTTGGTGTTGTTCCCCCGTGGGACTGGTGGTCCCATTGTTGTCCTCGTCCCACTTGCACAATGTGTTAATAAGTGACTCTAAGACGTAAAGAGCCACACCAACCTGGCGTTTTGTGTCGTCAGGAACATCTGGTGACATCATCAGTTTCTTGATCACTGAGCAACTCGGGATGGTCCGCGAGTGAATGCTCTCTGTAAGTCGTAGGGCATCATTACTGTCACTCAGAGTATTATCTTTTTCATTCTCGTACTTGGCTTGAACGCGTTCGTCAAGGTCATGAATCATTATAAAATATGCTGATGCAGATCGACTTCCTTTTCCAGTTAATGTTTCTGTGTCACTAACACTGCTGTCATCCCTGAGTTGACTGACGACGTCGCTGCCACCGCCTCCGTTGTCGCTCTCATCTCTGTTGCCGCTGCCGCCGCTGCCGCCGCTGAAGCCGCTACCACCACCACAGGAACCTTTACCAGCGTGGGCCACGGCTGTGGCACAGCAGTGTGGAGGCTGCTGTATCTCTTGTGGAGGAGCCTGACGTAGCGCCTGTATAATTTCAGCCAGTTCTGCTACCTGCGCTTGCAAGGCTGCCAACTGTCCTTTAACTGTTGTCTCAGGCTGTTGTGTGTTATCAGGGGCGTTGCTGGTACTGTCACCGTTATGGGGTGGGTCAACAGTACTAGAGCCGGCATCAGTAGGCACTTGTTGAGTATCGGGCACTTGCCTCCTTGTGCCAAAGGAGGCTGGCCGTTTGGTACAGTCTGAGTGCCAGATGGTTACTCCTTCCGTACCACATCTGAAACACTTCAGCGGCGGTTTAGACGGAGTCACAGTTTCAGGTTGTTGCCCGGCTTCTGTTACAGAGTTCCCGCGGTAAGACTGGAGGGCTCCCATGGAGGTTAGTGTCACATGGTCAGCTGGTGCTGTCATCAGTGTCACATGGTCAGCTGGTGCTGTCATCAGTGTCACATGGTCAGCTGGTGCTGTCATCAGTGTCACATGGTCAGCTGGTGGTGTTAGTGTCACATGGTCAGCTGGTGCTGTCATCAGTGTGACATGGTCAGCTGGTGCTGTCAGTGTCACATGGTCAGCTGGTGCTGTCATCAGTGTCACATGGTCAGCTGGTGTTGTCATCAGTGTCACATGGTCAGCTGGTGCTGTCATCAGTGTCACATGGTCAGCTGGTGCTGTCATCAGTGTCACATGGTCAGCTGGTGCTGTCATCAGTGTCACATGGTCAGCTGGTGCTGTCATCAGTGTCACATGGTCAGCTGGTGCTGTCATCAGTGTCACATGGTCAGCTGGTGCTGTCATCAGTGTCACATGGTCAGCTGGTGCTGTCATCAGTGTCACATGGTCAGCTGGTGCTGTCATCAGTGTCACATGGTCAGCTGGTGCTGTCATCAGTGTCACATGGTCAGCTGGTGCTGTCATCAGTGTCACATGGTCAGCTGGTGCTGTCATCAGTGTCACATGGTCAGCTGGTGCTGTCATCAGTGTCACATGGTCAGCTGGTGCTGTCATCAGTGTCACATGGTCAGCTGGTGCTGTCATCAGTGTCACATGGTCAGCTGGTGCTGTCATCAGTGTCACATGGTCAGCTGGTGCTG